AAAAAAAAACAATGATGTATGGCCTTGGTGCCCATAGCATAGTGGTTATGCCAGCCACATACACCAAAAGTGGTGGGTTCGAACCTAGCCAGGGCCAGCTAAACAACAATGACAACTGCAACAAAAAATAGCCAGGCATTGTGGCAGGCACCTGTAGTCCCAGCTATTTGGAAGCGGATGCAAGAGAATCACTTAAGCCCAAGAACTGGAGGTTGCTGTGTGAGCTGTGACGCCACAGCACTCTACCAAGGGTGACATAGTGAGACTCTGTCTCAAAAAATATTAATAATAAAAAATAAATAAAAACAATAATGTATGAAATAAAAACAGCTAGCCTGGAACAAGATGCTGCATGCTGTGGTGATCCTTACAAAGAAGGGCATGCAGCCTCCTGGGCCAGTTACCCTTTAAACTTTCTCTTTGTCTCTTGTTTCTTCATTTTTCTTCATCCTCTCTCTTCTGCCCAGCCAGAAGCATAATTAGAGCTGGTACCAAATAGAATCTCATCCTGGTGGAGATGCTGTATGAACATTGTTGAAATGACAACAAAGGATTTAGAACATGATATAAACTTAGTTGATAACGCAGGGACAGAGTTTGAGAGGACTGACTCCAATTTTGAAAGAAGTTCTGCTGGGGGTAAAATGCTGCCAAACAGAATTACAGGCTGCAGAGAAATCTTTCCTGAAAGGAAGAATTGGCCAGGTGTGGTGGCTCACACCTGTAACTAGCACTCTGGGAGGCCAAGGCGGGTAGATTGCCTAAGCTCACAGGTTCTATAGACCAGCCTGAGCAAGAGCAAGTCCCTGTCTCTAAAAATAGTGAGGTGTTGTGGCAGGTGTCTGTAGTCCCAGCTACAGGAGGCTGGTGCAAGAGAATCTCTTAAGCCCAAGAATTTGAGGGCTCTGTCAGCTATGACACCAGGGCATTCTGCCAAGGGTGACAAAGCAAGACTCTGTCTCAAGAAAAAAAAGAAAGGAAGGAAGTGGGAGGGGTCACGGTGTTCCACACACCTCTTGGGGGAGGAACAGATTTATAAGAGGGACTTTGCTTGACAAATGCAATTAGTGTAACACATTTGTACTCTCAATGAATCCCCAACAATAAAAAAAATAGGAATAATTAATCGATATGGCAAAATTTGCTATTGTCTTATATAAGAAATTTGTGGTGGGGCACTATGGCTTATGCCTATATCCCAGCACTTTTGGAGGCTTAGAGAGGAGGATTGCTTGAGGCCAGGAGTTGGAGAGCAGCCTGGGTAAAATAGACCCTGTCTCTATAAGAAATTTTTAAAAATTAACTAAGTATAGTATTGAGCCTATAGTTCTAGCTACTCACGAGGCTGAGGTCAGAGAATCACTTGAGCCCAAGGACATGCAGTCAGTCCAGTTTGGGTGATAGAGTGATACCTCATTTGGAAAAGAAGGGAAAGGAAGGGGAGGGAAGGGGAGGAAAGGGGAAGGGAAAAAATTTGCAAA